CACCTTTGTAGAAAAAACATGAATCCAAATAGCTTTTTCTAAAGCCCAAGGTTTAAATATAAAAAATAAATTTCTTATACCATTGATTCAGAACCTATTTCAAACCATACAAAGATTCATTTAACAAGCAAACTTTTCCAGTATGAATTTTAAATTTTATTCTTTCTGCTACACCATTATGTTGAAGTGCATAATTCACATTTATATGTCTTACAATGTCACATTCTTTATAGAGAAAATATCAAACTCAACAGTACAGAATTTTAGATCATTGTCAATTTTAAGTGCTTTAATCATTGTAATTGTTTGATTTTCAATCAACAATTTTTCATTTCTTCAAGTTTCAAAAAGTATGAGATTTAGTTTTCAACAAAATAGTCCAAATCTTTTTTAAAAAATCATCTACAGTCCATAGATACAATAAGAATATTTAGAGCAGCCGATCCCCGAAGATTGGCATGTAAATATCAAGAACAGAGGTGGATTTATGAATGCCACCCATAAAAGGCATTTTGCTTTGTTTCCCTAAAACACACTCTTCACAAAACTTGAGTTGTTTTATTATCTCTTCAAAAACCTTATTCTCTCTTTAAAATTTGAAGCCCTTTATCACTTACGTGGCCCAATCTCTTATGCCAGAAAGTGATCTATTAGACTTTTCACTTATTACAGTAGCATTGTTGCCTCTTAAAAGCTTAGCCTGCATGATGATAAGTCCTTTAACTTAGATGTATAAATAACTTCTTGAAAATTCAAGAAGATTATAGTAAGGCCGTTATGAATTCTTATATTTTATTAATCATCTAATTCTTCGAAAGAAATAGATTTCTTTGAAGATAGGAAAATAAGTAGCTTTCTTTAATTCTAGAATATGATTATTATTCAATAATATGTTTAGCTTTTCAATAGCTTTAATATAATAACTCTTGTCATTTCCAATTTGTACTTGCCCTGCATTCACATTAACAAATTCGGTGAACCCTTCTCTAACATGACATTTATAAAAAATTAAGTACCCATTCATTCGTTACATGTGATAGCTGCAAACCCAGCAAGATTTGTTTTATCGTTACATATTTTACTATGGAAGACTAGAAGTAATACTCTTTAACTTTTCATATATATATATATATA